CATCCACGTGGATGAGAATTTTTTTTGAAAACACCTGGACCCAGAACGGCCCGTTCTGAAACCGGAACGGGCCGTTCTGGTTGCAAAATTAAAAATATTTATGTATATAAATTTTTAATATAATTTATATATTAAGATATAGTATTTATATATATATATAATTTGGTATAAATCTTAATTGTATATATAAAAAAAATTAGCGTACCCATACATTACACAAGCTTAAATAATTGTATGGGAGTTAAATTGATTGACAAACTAAACTTTTAAGTTACTTGACTATTTCCATCATTCCAACACTAACCAGACCAACTCCCTATTAATTAAAAACATTCTCCAACTTGAAAAAAAAAATCTTGATAAGGGAAATGCTAACAAAAATCTAATACCCTCTGGATAGCATTCTTTCTCTTAATAGTTAGCTTTGTGCAATATTTGATCTTTTTTTAAAAAAAAATATATAGTTTATTTTATATTATACTATAGGAAAATAAATACTTTACGTCTTTATAAATTTATTTTAAAAAAAGATAAACATAATGGAGTAAAATAAAAGATAAAGAAAGTTTAACAACATTTAGTGGTTTGAAATAATTATATACATTTATAGATTATAGATGAAACTCTTATGTTGATTTTTCATTTTGAATACTAGATAAAGAAATGCTTTGGATCCTTTGAAACAATTTTATAAAATATAAATTATAATGGTATATACCAATTCTCGGATAAATAGCTTTTGACAAGTTTTTTGGGTCTTTTCCCAAGGTAGCATTGCTGTAAAACCAATTCCGAGATAAATAGCAATCGCAACAACTACAACATCCAATATTTGATCTCTGATGCTCTCTATCTTCAAATGCAGTTTACTAGTTACAACCTGCAACTTTTTTATGATTTTGAACATTGGATAAAAAATAAAAAAAAAACTGGGAGGACAGACATAATATGGTTCGACCCTAATGCTGATTCAACTTCACCTCAAGAGTCAAATTTTGGTAGCTGATTCCCTAATGGAATCATCACTTTTTCCTGCTATCTATGCCTTGCTTTAAGAACTGCAACCTATTTCTGCATTAAATTTACATTAACAAAGTATAACTACACGAAGTAAATAAAAATAGGAAAGAATAGTTACATAGTACCGGCAATAAACCAAATTAAAATAAAACATTTAATTGTCGAAAACGAAGGGCATTAATAGAAACTGACACCACGTGAAACAGGTAAACTGTATACACATCAAATCAGACTATTGTCTATAGTTCACATGGATAGCTATGGTAAGGGCAAGTCCAAACCATTCAATAATTCAATAATAATGCTTGATACTCGTTGATAGCAATAATTAGTATAAAGAGATTTAGAAACTGAAATTCCAGGACCTATGGACCAGACACACAAGATAGTCAATAAAACCAGTCCATGTGATTGACGACTAATGTATTATATGACAAAGATTTTCACGAATAGCATGAGATACACAAAAATATTGCAAATCAAGTCACGCTCCACAAAAACACAATTATGGATGATAAACCTTACTTGGAATCAGTGAGGCGGCCATGCAAGCTCCATCTTTGACGGAAACCTTCAATGCCCTCAATTCCACTAGCAAGAATTAGGTGCCTACACATTTGAAATGAAGGTGTATAAGAAGTCCAGAGGTTGAAAATTATAACATCAGATTCACTCACCCAAGTGTCACATGATATTGAAGACACAGAGATATTGTCAAAGTGTGTGAATGCCAAAGTGACACAGAAAAATAATGTCAGCCAGTAGAAATATCGAAAACTGTAAGACAATCCAAGGGCATTTATAAAACTTTAGTCCTGAATTTTGATTTTTTAAAAATATTCATTTGAATCCCGAATGGAAAATAGTAGGAACAAATATTCTTCTCTATCATCACATTTTGAAAGAGCAAGATGCTACTGAAGTTTCCTCAAAATAAAAGAAAGAAATGTTTAGTCAAAAAAGATAATCATGTCTACAGAAGGCACCCTCCAGAAATTTTGTGGATTGACTATTCTTCAAGGATCTATTATCAGCTTGCTTTATGCAACATGGACCACCTTATGACTATTTGAATATACCTCTCCAGCGATGTAACTTCTGCCTCGAGCTGAGAGGCCCTCCCCTTGGCTTCATCCAGAGGCATTGATGAACCCAATTTGAATTCACTATCTTGAAGCCGCTTTCGTATCTCCTTATCCTGCAGTTATTTTTTTTTTCAAAAAATGAAATATCAAAGTTGATGTTTGATCTAACAAATTGAATTGCATTTCCTAAATCTTTATTTCCAACAATAACAATGAGTAAATATTACACATACGTAAAGATCATTCAAAGAAGGTAAGATATGAATTGTAATAGGAAAATGGATGAGATGGAGGAAGAAAGAACAAATAACCAAATCTGTAACAGACGTGTGAAAACAACAGTCTCACCCTTCTTTCAGCACATTGTTTATATAAAGCAATTTCATCCTGACAAAATGGTTCGATGTCATTGATTTGCAAGCCTACAAGATTTTAAATAAGCTTATAAGATATTCAGATACAACAATGTTGCAACAGACATCTAATATTAAAACATTAAAACGAACAACAAATATAATCATTTGTCATTATCAGTAGATTGAACCTTGTTGAAGTTAATCCTTTAAATTCTCCTGTCTGTTCATACCCACAAGGTGTTGATTATGAAGACCAGCGTGGTTATTCACTTCTTTTACATGTGACGTCATAAAAAATTTCATGACCTGATGTTCCTACTTAATTCTAATTACAAAAACAACAAAGCAAAACAACTGCTTAATCCATACCATTGCATCTACTCACAGCTAACAAATGAAAATAAAAATAATTCTGAGGCCTTATTTTTAAAATGGTGAATCTTATGATACATTTTCAATTATTAAAATTTAAAAATAATATTTTCACACAATAAAACTAACAAAAAACAAGTATATAAACAAATATTCTTATTCTCTTTCCTATGCATATTTATTTTCTTATATTTTTATGCACACTCACCAATAGGGTTCCTAGGCGCTCTTTCTTCTCTGTGATACATGTACCACGTATGAATTGGTCTCTAATTTTATGCAATCAAAGGAATTAATAAAAAAAGAACAATTACATCAGGTTAATAAAAAGGAAACTTACAGAGGAAGAGATTCCTGAGAATTCCATCACACAAATCAACACCTTGGAGTACATGGGAGGCTATTTCTGATGGTACTACAGGTGATGGAGGCCCCGTCATTAAATCATCACCAACCAGAATTGTTTCATCCATCACTGGCTGCGAATCAACTGAAACCCACACACAAATTTGCCATCATTTTTCCTCTTCCACACATTTGAACATTTCCATTTTTATTTTAAGGTAAGTGACAATAAAGTAAATAGTATGAGTGTGGCTGAGATGACATACCATCCATGATTGCTTCCTGGTAATCTTCTGCAAAAAACACGACAATGCTGGTCTAGTATGTTCTTATTCTTTTTAGAGCAGCTCACAGGATACAATTGCTGAAACAAAATAAAGTGAGAATTATAATATGACAGGTCTATTTGGATAAATGTTTCCATAAACACTTATATGAAAAGAAGAAAATGAAATAAACTTCTCCAAAAGTTAAAACTTGTAGAAGTTGTCTCAATTTATTTTTTCATAAACTAATTTTTAACTTTTGGAAAAGCTGATTTTAACTAATGGTGAAGCTTTTTTTTTTTTTTTTTTCCTTCTTATTTTCTTCTCCTATAAATACATTATAATTGGTATGGTTGGCCACGCCAGTGATGAGCTAAGGTTGTACCACTGAACCAGTACAAGGGACCGGTTGATGCCATCCCTCACCGACCCTATAAAAGTAGAGTAAATAGTATATGCAAAAAATTATCATGTATATTACATCTGTCGACTTTTACTCAAACTATTTTAAAAGTTATTCCTAGCACGAATTCTAATTCATTAACAGTAACAAAACCCTTTCCACTGTCAGTACTTAAAATTAAAATAATAAAAATAACGTGTAAAACTACAAGTACAAGGATTTTCCTATTGCCTTTGCAGCTGTTTTCTTTCCGAAGTGCATATATCTTTTTGGAGTTTAATTTATATGCATCGTTACAATAATATCAGTGGCATTTTTGTATGGCTCCAGGGGAAATGAATGGAGGAATAAACGGCGAGTAAAGAAAATAAACAATCAAATAATGTGATTAAAAAGAATAACCCAAAAAAAGGGGGAAAAATCATCTCCTTTTGTAAATCATAACGTTGCAGGTAGCAAATGACCTAGAAATTGCCTCTGTGAATACCGAGTTAAATTAAAGCACTAGACCTAAGCAACTATATGTGCTCCTAACGTGTTTGTAAAAATGATTGAAAGAGTTAAGTGAGTGAGAAAGTAACTAGAGTCTTAACACAGATCACAGCTGAGGCGAACACTACACCGAGTTAGAAAGCAACTGGTCGATGGTAAAACAATTAGAGTTAAGGAGATATAGGGAAGCAAAATAAGAATTCGAAGGTTTTGGTTTTAACAAACGAATGTAGAGACAAATAGAAGAAAGAAACGGGAAGAGATAAAGGGTAAGGAAGTGAAATGCGAGTACGTACCCGGAATCAGAAGTGGTCGATACTCGATTTTGGAAAGAAGCACCACTTCCTCTGTTATTAGTTGCACTTCTCCCTACTCTCTCTCAGTGTTATTTATGTAAGGGATTAAGCGGGTCGGGTTTTACCTATTTTAATAACCTACCCAATTCAACTTAATCTGTGTGAGTGTGTGTATTTTTCTTAAAAAGAAATTTAATATATTTTAAAACTTGAAAATAAAATAAAATAAAAGAGTGCATATGAAATTATTATTTTAAATTTTTCTCATACAAATCATTAAAAATAAAAATAAAATGAAAACGGTGAAGTATTATTACAATTAAAACTGTATAAAAGAGCTAAAAGCAGAAATCATTTTCTCAAATTAACAGATCTTATTTTATTATTTTAAATTTCTAGATTATCATCTCATTTAAGGGTTAAGAACAATTCCAATACAAGATAAATGAATGGTTTGCAGGTTAACTCTGTTTTAGTGGATTTCATTTTATTTTATTTTTTTGTGAACGAAGAATTTATTCAAACCCTAAAACCCCATACAAGCGAGATTCACCATTAAAGCATTGCATATAAATTGATGTGGTACATAAAAAATACGGTCGGTATTCAAGACCCAAATCATAGTTGGCGATCTCAGTGCTTACCTTATTCGCATAATAGTTTAAACAGAGCGAAGCTTAATTCTTATTCAGTGATCCACCAAAGTTTATATACTTTGAGGTGGCCAATACGTGAGGAAAGTTCGCATAAAGCTCACAGATATACTCATGATATAATAAATTACTTCCTCTTTTCATTTATTTTATCTTTTGACCAGTGCAGAGTAATCCATAAAAGTATTACATACAAATTCTTTTTACATCCTGTGTCCTATGTAAAAACTAAAGCATAGCATTTCACCAGGTGGATAAGCCAACATGACTCACGCACGCCTGTACTCATCTCCACAATCACCAATTACTTTAAGCAGATCCTTTCCTTTCGCTGTGGCTTCTCTTATGCTGTTCACATCATCTTCATCAAGAACAAGTGAAAAGATAGCATTGGTGTCTTGAATATGTTCTGCCAAGCCAAGTCTGACACCAACCATTGATCCTGCTACCGCAGGCTGCATGTTTGACAAGAACCAAAATGAATACCAGGGTTCGTCCAATGTAACATGAGATGCGATTTAAAATTAATAAGAACAGCAAATTCCTGGAGAGAGAATAAATCAAATTCACCTGATCTAGTATATACTTCACAGCAACAGTTGCGATCGAAACGCCATGTTTCGAAGCTACTTGTTTAAGAGTCCGAAGCAGTCCCTGGAACAAACTCCATCCTCCCCAAGCATCTACCATCTGCCACCAGAATCAAAGTAAAGGAAAACACGTGAAAACACAAGGGAAAAAAATCCAAAACCCACTCTCCTGATGTTCTCATGCAGGGAAAGCTTCAATCACAACTTGAATTGTTATATAGCCTAGTGACTCATAGTTATTTATCATTGACAACTTCCCCTTTTACGGTCCTTCTTATACTTTTACAACATTGAATTTAGAAGGGACAAAAACTTATGAAGATACCAAAATGTTTTTTAAGTAACTAATGGTGGTCATGAAATCGTACCCTTTTGTACTTTTGGAGGGAGGGGGTGTTTATTGCAGGACCAGCAAAAGGAATAGCTATGTTGGTGTCAAGGAACTTCTCCGACAATAGACCACCCATTACCGTTCCATACCTGCATCACAAACTGATCTACTAAGTGGAAGAAATTATAGTTTTCTTTTACTAAAGCTTCATCTCATATTTGGCTGAAATAAAATATAAAAAAAATTATCTGAGAGACGTTATAAGTTTGACTCCTGTAAGCTGACAAAGCTCTGCCATTCTCTGTTGCGGACGCATATCAACAAGTGAATGTTGCACCTGACATTGAAGACGTCAATGAGAATCACAAACTATCAGCAATTATTAAAAGAAGTGAGAAAAGAGACAGTAAAGCATTTGGATTACCTGATTACTCACAACGGGAATCTCATTTTCAAGAATAATTTGTAATCTCTCCGTATCAAAATTAGTCAGAGCCACAGTCTTGATTTTACCTGTACAGAGCTAACTAATGTAGTATGACCAAAGCAAAAAAATTGAATTTGTAACTGTTAATCAGAAACAAAACTAACCTTCTTCTTTCAAGTCTGTAAGGTGTTTTAGCGCATCCAGGTAGCCTGGATTTGAATAATCCCACCTAAATCCATTGGAAATAGAGGTAAATTGTCACAAGAATCCTAAACTTAAGAGAATTCGAATAATCTTCAGTAGTAGTTTAGGTAGATAATGGGAACCAAATACTCATTTCAATATTTCAGTAATAGACCTAGAAGAAAAATGGATGAGTTTTTATGTCATGGATAATGTGATTTGGTTATAAATTATAATTCTACATAAAAAAATTCAAGAATTGTAAAATTTGGACTAAAATTGCGCTGCTTGAACTGTGATAGTTAGAAGATCAAATAATCACAATACAGAGGGATTAAATACCAATGGAACTGAAGCATGTCCAAGGATTCAACATCCATTCTCTTCCTTGAAACATTAATGCTGTCTCTTACATAGCTGCTAGTCATCTTAACTGGCGGAGGCACCCATTTAGTGAGACTGCACCAAATGATACAATGGATAAGAAAATACTTTCTACTTTATATTTTTACGAACAATATAGAAGTATATGGTAGGATGGATATTAGACAAATACCCATCTAAAGTAGTTTTCAAGTAGAAAAAATAATTAAGAAAAGAATATGTAGTCAAATAATCAACTCACCCTCTGACCTTTTCCAGTAATTCAGGAGGACGCTCACGACGAACTCGATTAATGAAAATCCCATACAGGTCTTCAGCGGGCCCATCTGCAAACCCAAAGAACACAACAATGAGAAAACAATTCTCAAAAATCATAATCATTTGTGTAGACTTGTAAAAAGCAGCACATGTTGAGAAGAATCCGCATCCAATAATCACATCAAACACTCAAATTTGAACATGACAAGTCAAATATCACTCTCTCCTCTATTCCTCTAACGAATAAGGGTGCACTATGAGTAGTGAAGGATTTCCTTACTAAGAAAGGGGTAGATGTCTAAATGAGTTCAAACAGAAAGCAACTAGAAGAGTAAAGTAGCTAAGTTGCATACATATATCAGCCATATCAAAAGTGGTGAGTCCAGCATCAGCATATTTGAGCATAAAATCAACAGCATCATCCCTATCAATTTTGCCCCACCCACCACTCGTCTGCCACATTCCATTCACAACCCGGCATATATCCAATGAATCATTGCCATTCTTCACAACAATGCTTCTGTTATCCTGTGTTAGCACACATTGAAATGGCCTCAGGTGCTTATATTTTGGTGTTCCTATTCGTCTCCTAGTTGGTGTTCCATTGGGACCGAAAGTGAATTTGCTTAGAGAATGACGCAATAACTCTGACATTTCCGAATTGCTCAAGTGCCTATAATAGCTTTAGCAGGTACACAAAAAACAGAGGCAGCTCCTTTCAGCAAATTTATGTGTCGCTCTAACAAGTAAGAAAAAATAGGGACACGGTCTCACAGCGCAGCGTCCTCAGTGCTTTATCTTTTATATCAGCATCCAGTTTCTCTCCACCATACGTTTTTATCATTTTTATTTTATGTGAATGCATTTTCTTTAATTTCATTTTTAGTATTGTTGTTATTTACTGATTTTAAGCTATCATAATCCAATCCATTAATGACAAATTTTTAATTCTAAATAAATTAATATGTATACTTTGACCATATACAGCGAATGAGAATAAATTTTAGTTATATAAAAAAAGTTTAATGAGTCACAATTTTCTTTATTTATAACTATGTTAATGATACCAACCGTTTTGATTTTAATTTTACTTAAAAAATTATATTTTTTATTTTAAATTTAAAAATTAGTATTTTTAATCTTTATAAATCAAATACATTTTAATTTTAGTCTTAATTCTAAAATTTAGAATGATGAATGAAAAATAAAGAAAAAAATGTGTGTAATCAAAATCAAAATTTGTTTTTTTCACAAGATTAAAAACATATTTAAGCATAAAAAAAAACATATATTGAGTATTGTAAAAGTTAAAATACTAATTAAAATTATATAAAGACTTATTTTCAATATTTTTAATAAAAATCATAAAATGATTTTATTTAATATTCTTAAGATACTAATTTAAGAAATAATTAATATATTTTCTATATATTATTATAAAAAAAAATTAATAATTATTTTTATTAGAAAATAATTAATAATTTTCCAATTTTACAAATAAATAACAATTGCAAAATAAATAAATAAATATTAAATGCGAATTAATTATTAAAATTATTCTAAATCAAATATTAAACAATCCTTTTACTTAATAAACAAATTATATTTTAAAAATATTAAATGTTTGCTTTTTATTTAATATTTTATAAACTACTACTATTAGGAAAATTAATAAAAAGAATTATTTCAAATAAAAAATTAATATTTTCAAAAGTCATTTAATTTGATAATTAACTGTTGAAAATAAAAAGAATTTTCCAATGTATATCTAAATATATTTAATGCTTTTAATATCGCTTACTGTTTTTATTATTAATTTTATATCATTTACTTGCTTATACACAGGGAAATGTGTATTTCGAATATAGCAGTGCATGTTTGAAAATAAAAAAGAAAAAGAAAGCCACTAAATTCATCCAATTCTTAAAAGGGCAGGAAGGAATAACAGCCAATCGGAAGTGTCCACGTCATCATCAC